CTAGCTTCAGAAACATATAAAATTTTAAAAAAACTTAAAAAAATTTTAATAGTAAACTCTAATATTATACAAACTTTAAACTTTAATTAATTATAAGTTTTTTAATAATTTTAAAAAATTTTCTTAAGAAAGTTAATAAAGTAGATTTTTAAAAATTTATTTTATTTAGAAAGTATATTGTTAAAATTAATATTTAAAATTTTATTAAAAAATTAAAGTTTAAAACAATAAACACAAGCAAATTTGCTTGTGTTATAATTTAAGAGATATAAATAGATCTTAATATATGAATGACACCTGACATATGAAGTAAGTAACATAAAAAATTATTTTGATATTTCAGAGATTTTAGACCTCTCTAAAGAAAGCCTTGCTATATTTTGCTTCTACTTACGACTAAACATTGCAATCCAATTGTTAATAGTGGTTACTTTCAGAATATTATTTTGGTCAAATTCATCATGTTGAGCCCATTTTAATAATTCATTATACATCTCTTCACCTGATATTTTGTTTTTATTATCTACTGTTTCTGCATGAAATATATTTTTTAATAAGCTTCTAATTTGTTTAGTTATTCATTTCTACAGTTTTTTTTGATTATTTTTTTTTATTTTTAGCTAAGGCCCAACTTGACGAATACCTATTATAGCTGAATTAGAAGCAAATATATAGTTTATTCATTATTTAAAGTATCTGTTTAATCTTATACTACAGGTATTATTATTATACTTGAAGTTGTAACTTCAAGCTCTTGAAGTTGCACTAACTGAAATTAGCTCCTTCTTGCATGTATTAGTTAGTAAATTTAGGTAGGATTAACTTCAGATGCTTGAAGTTACAACTTCAAGCAAATGCTAATTTCAAGCACAGAATTATTATAAATATTACCTTTTTGATATTGAGTGAATATTTGTTTGTGTTAGATCAATCGTATCTTGAGTAGATATTTTCTAGAATTTTTAATATTTATTAAAATTTGTTATTAAAATTTGCCTTTTAACTATAGATCACGGATTTATTGAAACTACAATTTTTGTCAAGGTAATTCCTAAAATCTTTTTTTTTTTAACACAAATAATTACTTATAACCAACTTTATATCATTAGCTTTTGGAAGATTTTATATAAATACTGCCTATTTTTTTCCATTAATCCAAATTTGACAAAACTTCATTATAGCATATTTGTTATCCAATTTTAGTTATCAAATTACATATTAATCAATCGATACTAAGTTCTGAAAAATTTTTAGATCTTTGATCTATATTGATGATACGTCTAACCTGTCTTCTCCCACCATCTAACCCATTTTGTCATACTTTATTAGACAGAAATTTATATACAGTGATGCACCCTAATCTAAAAATATTGATTAGCATAGTCAAAAGTTGATATTACATGCAAGTAGTTAAATTTTTCTATTTTATAAATATACCATAATACTTAGGTTTAGAGCAAATAAGAAATAATTTTTTTAGCTTTAGATTTTAGAAATTCTCAATATCATACTAGAATATAATAAATTTCAAAGATATTTCAGCAAGTTAAAATACCTTCAGTAGGCAATCTTAGCTAACAAATCTTACTATCAAGTTTTCCAAGTTTTCCTGATATTTAGTATTTGATTTATTCTGATCTGTTAAATAATAAATGAAATAATTAAATTTAGATTAAAAAAATTGATATCATTCTATAATAAAATCTATACTTTAAATATATGGTATTAGTATGGTTCAAGACTTAGAAGATACTGTATGTCTTGATAATGTTGATTCTGGCATTTTAAAAATATGATTTTTTGTAATTTTTGTGATTTGTTCAGATGTATATTTTTTCTATGATTCTAATTGTGGTAATGATCTAGCCAAAATATAGCCAGCTTCTTCTTTCTTATCTAGCCAAGCCTATTCATACCAATTAGAAATTCCATGCATTATTTCTAATCTGCAATTTGCTTTGTTTGGTTTGATTAATTAATATTTATTACTTTTATAAACTAGAAAAAGCAAAATATATAATCAAATATACAAATCTCCATGATTAGGTATAATATTTGCAATGTGAGTTTTTGCCAGATCCTTTATTGCATCTTGTATTTCCTCACCCGATTCAATATCGTGTTCCATTTTTACCCACCATTTTATAGCATGTATTAACTAAGTAAATAGCAATAATAGCTTATTAGAATTACTAATTACAAAATAAGTTTATTGTTGCAAATCATAAAAAAATCAGTTTAAAATGAAATTTAAACTTTTGTTTGAATCTTCAAACTCATACATACTCTTATTAATAACTCTAACTAAAGGTTAAAAATTCCATTTTGAACTAATTTCATTTTAATTTGTTATATTTAGATACTTGGGCATGATGTGAATCGATTGCCATTTTCACTTCACCTGCCTCAAGAAAAATCTATTTTCGTACTGTAACTCCATACCATTCTTTCCAATGAGCCATTATTATTATTAATTTCATATTGTGATAATGTGGTCCATTATCAGAAAAAATACTAATTTATTTTGGTTTTATTTCGATTGTTTCTATTACTCTATGAAGTGAAGATGTAGTGAACCAAGCATCTTGTTTACTATCACCACTTTAATGATCAAATGTGTAGATATTAATTTTACCAGTATTAGAATCCTTTGTATATATTAAGACTGAATAAAGTGACTACCCACGTTTACCAAAAAACTAAGCCTTTGTTTCTCGAGATTTTTGACATAAAATTTTCATTTTATAGTCAATGATTATTAATGTGCCATTTGAA